GAAAAAAAAGCAATCCTAATATTTGTGTGAGGAATTTGGGGGGGGGGGGGGTCGAAAGAGTAAACCCAGTAAAGGGGACTCATCTCCTCTATAGCACATCTTCACGATAGTGAAAGATGGAACGGATGTCAAGATTCATTCATGAAAATCAAAGAGCTAGTTTCAAACTTACTGCTTAGAGAGTTTTCTTGCCTCATGGACAGCCTCTTCAGACAATTCATCTAGTGGTAAAAACAATAAGATAAATAAAGTCAGAACGAGTTTGGCATGAAATACTTTGATAGCAAAATACAAAAAAACCTCTGTAAATTAACAGCTAAGCAAAGAAAGATTAAAAACACTACAATTTGTACTACGATATCCACTTGATCTTGAGACTGATAACCATACAGGGACATGAACATTTTCCTTAACAACAAATCCCGAGCTGAAACACTTCAATAAATCTTGGTGTTTGGCTAAATAGCCCTTTTAGCTTGGTTTAACAAAGTTGGGTTCGAGTGCCTACCTTGAGCATCGACAACATCATTTTCTGGTTCTGGCTCTGAGTCAGAACCCCATCTGTCTCCCCCATCATCACAATCCCAACGTTCTCCAACCGGAGGCTCCCAGAAGTCTGCTTCTTCTGTATCACTCTCATTACCTGCAGGATCTCTCATTTCAGATATTATAACGCTCTCAGATTTTTCTACTTTCCCCTTTTTCTTTTTCTTCTTTGGTTTTTCCTGTTCTTGCTGTTCTGTTTTCTCCTCCAGCATTTTATCAGGCATCTCCTGCTCTGCTTCCTTTTTCTCTGTCAAATTTTTGGGTACATATCAAAATTTTCCTGATCAATGAAAGGTCCTTCCACTAGAACTTTACTGCATTTTAGTGACTACAAGTCTCAATACCAGAACCAAACAAATGAAAGCGAGTTACAGACCTAACATTCTTAGGAAGCGTTTCCCATTAATATGTTTCCAAATATGCTCCTCAGATTTGTTAACAACGAGTCCTGTCAACTTGCATTTTAATTTTGACCTGCAACAACCGCACAACAATAACACCATTCATATTTGAAAACGGAAAACTTGTAACCCTAAAATCTACATCAAACGGATAATTGGGAATGATCCATGTTTGCAAATAGCAGTAGGCCCTTGGGGGGGGGGGAATGGCACCTAAGACTCTAAGAGGGACCTGATAAAAGTAAGAAGGGATTGGGCAGGGTCAGTTCAGAAGAAAAAAAAAAGGAGGTCAGACTAGGAAGAGATACTTAAAGCATAAGTCACAATGTACGTAGCTGTGTAGCGGGTGTAAACGGTCGATCAGATAGGGAAGACGGAAAATAAAAACTTGTGTTTGGATCCAAGAAATTGAACCCAATTTTTGACATTCAATCCTAGATCTTGAAAATGTTGGAATTTGAATCCCACATACTATTGGAATCAATTCAAACTATTGATTCAGAGAATGATGATTTTAAGAAAGGTGGGGCTTGAGTCATGTCCAAATGAGATGAAACATACAATTCGACTTAAATCCTGCATTTCAAATGAAATCATATAACCCAAACATAACATCATGTTAATGCTCAAATTTAATACGTTTATTAGATTCAATTGCAAACACTTTTATTGCATCTGCTTCCCCATAATCGTTTGTATATTTGCCAACAATCATAAATCTTTTGACATAAAAGAAAATCCAAAGACAATAAATAACAAAAAAAAATCACTGGATATTGCAGAGATAAATATGAAGGAAAAATATAAAAAGGGGAATACTTGGAAAGAGGATCTTGAGAGAACATGTTGAGGATGGGCTTTTTAGAAGCCAGAGCTGCATCGATGAGGCCTAAACGGCAGTGCTTGCTCCGGGCATATGAGTCCCTGGCGTGCGCCGGGAGCTCGTGGCCGGTCTCCACGCACTTGAAGCGCCCATTCTCCAGTACTACGAAGGTCGGTTCACCCAGTAGGTGGTGCCCTTCCTTCTCGCCGTTTTCCTCCCCTCCGCCGCCGTCTCTCTTCTCGTCTTCCATTGCAGAGTTCTTCGGCCACAGTCACAGCTAGTCTTAGGGCGAATGAAGCCAACAGGCCCATTATGTTAATGGGGATATCCGATTTGTGGCCCACAAAAACTTTTTTTTCTTCTACTTCGTATTTCCATTCGGTTCATAGCAGAAATCGAATTCATCTGAAACAAATCCTGTTCGAACCAAAAATTAGCCCCCAGTTTAAGTTTAAAGAATAAAAAAAGTTTAAGTCTTATATTGAAAAATGATTTCTATTTTAGTTCTTTTTAGTGCAAATTTTACTAATTTATTTTGTTTTTTTGAAACCAAAGATTGTATTCCAATTAAATTAACGAAATGATGAAGTTTCGGAGTAAATGAACTTATTCACCTACACACTCTAAGGAGAATAAAAAGCTCGCGCCAATACATGCGCTGCCTCATTGGCATGGCGATACACAAACTGAAAATAAAAAAACTCCCTACATAAGACAACAAAGATTTTACAATTATCAATAATTGAAGAGAAATAAGATCAATCTTGTGAAAAATATTGCGCCAATCTGCAACGCCTTTATTCATACATGCTTATTTGTTAACACGTCTTTTTTTCCAACACATAAGGAGTGTTTGGGAAAAAAAGAAGAATGAATCTTAACACTTCCTCCTTCCCATAATTTTTTTAATTTTGACTTTGAAATGGGTAGACGAGTAGTGCTTGGAAATTGTAAAAATAAATAGAACGTAGAACGTAGTCGAGATAAGTTTTTAAGATTTAAAGAAAGTAAGGATAGTTATGTCGATTTAGGTTATATTAAAACATTTTATAAGACAAGATAAGAAGTATAAAAAGACATATGGGTACATTGTTACCACCATCATCACCAATCATTCAAGTTGTGCCATATCATTAAGCTTTTTCTTTAAGCTTTTTTTAAAGTCTAACCTGTTTTTTGGTTTTACATACATATTTTTTTCTCCAAAAAATAATATTTTTCAATCTCTTGAAAGTTGAGAACATGAACTAATCCTAACTCTATTTTGCAATTGTGGTCGTTAGGGAATAGGGAGGAATTAAAAGGTCAACTATAATAAATGATGCCTAAATATTAATGAAAGGGAAATTTAGGCAGAAACACCCCACGTACGTACTTATGGGAGTGGAGTTCCCATGCACTCCCTACTACGGAGTAGTATATATTGCAAACCAATTTTCATACTCAAATTAGCATTGGTTTATATGGGCGGTGCTTAGAATAATTTTTTGGCAAAAAAAAAAAAATTGATTTGAGAAGGTCTACAAAAAATAGTGTGGTTCTAAATTAGGTTCACCAAGAAAGCATTCTTCATAAATTATACATATATGATGTGATGTTGGGTATATCATCAACCCTATAATGAATTTGGGATCAGAATAAACCCAAAATGCCCCCTAAGCAAGCAATGATCGAAGACTAGTGCCCAAACTTCCTCGACTAAGCTCGATCTCATATACTCGGCCTCGGCATCCATGGGCTCAGCTTCACCATCCACGAGATGGGCCTCATTCGACCAGTATTCATCCTGGTGACTTCTTAATACTTAACCTGAAAGTAGCTATAGAATTTGTGTGCGTGTTGGACTGCGACCAAATACAGAATCTTTCGTTTGGACCAACACTCAAAGAGTCAACTCCTCTGACGAGGTTCGAACATTTAAATTTTCATTTGAGAGAGACACAGTGATTCCACATTTCCACTGATTACAAATCTTTTGGCATATATATGTATTGTATTTAGGATAGAAAGAAGTAAAATTTGGTTAGTGATTTTTCAAGGATTGAACACATTGAAGTGACCACGTGCTAAGTGTTATAGTATTGGCCAAACGCCCTATAATTTGTTGGGACTGCGCGTGCACTCACCCCAATCCCGCATTAGTATGATATTGTCCGCTCTAGGCCAAGCCCTCACGGATTTATTTTTGGGCACTTCCCAAAAAGCCTCATACTAATGAGGTTGGGTGAACCTTTTTATTTTGGTCCAGTTTTTCTTCTCCCTCCGGTGTGGGACTTGGAGGAATCCCAACATAATTAACCAGCGATTGTCAACTTAACTTAATCAATTTCCATTCTCCTACAAATCATCATCATCATCCTTATTTCATTTACTATAAATACACATATCTGCGCCATCTTCCCACCCCTAAAACTCCCCCATGTGACATTTCGAATTTTTGAATTTAAATATGTATATATAAAAAGAAAAAAACCGTATACATGGCGGAATATGAATTCCATTGGAGGATAACCACAAAGTTCCCATTCACCATTTTCTGGGCTCTGATTGGGAGTTCCCCATCTCTGTCTCTCTGATTTTCTGTTTTTTTCTTACCATTTATGCTCTTGGGTCCGTAAAAGGACAGATTTTTGGGAGAGAAAAAAAAAAAGAATTCCCCAAAAACAAAAACAAAAAAGCATTGTAGTATTAGAGAAAGTGGGTCGGGTCCTCATGGTTTCAGATGATTATTACATCTCCAAGAAGAGAGACGATTTATGCGAAGATGTTTGTTGCCAGGTGCGTACATACCTCGCAGATCCA